AAAAACCATAGACATTGATAAAACGTACAATCCACTGGTGTCACTTAACGCTAAACTTTCAAAATCATTATTGACAGAAAAACATGAATCAAATATTATTTTAGACAAAGATAGTTCCATTTCACCACCATCACCATCATCACCACCATCATCATCATCATCATCATCATCATCATCATCATCATCATCATCATCATCATCACCACCGCCGTCATCACCACAACCACCACCGTCATTACCCTCCCACACATCTCCTAATGAGCAACTAATTCAACCTATGCTTCCTGATCTTTCAAACTCGACACATTGTCATTTTCATCGTGATCTTATCATATTCAAAAACTTTGATTTATTTCGTTCAAATGATCTTTTTGTCATCTTTATGATCTTTTATGTTGTCATTGTCCCATTACTTATATCAGGAACTTCTGATAATGTTGTTAAAGCTTTTTTGGTTTTACAATGTTTGGCATGGAGAATATTCCATTCTTATGGTTTAGGTTATATGTTACATTTGCAAAGTAAAAGCAAGTTTTTAACAAAACATTACGTTAAATATGGTGGAACTGCAGGTGATGCCTTTTCTAATTGGAAAAGGTGAGAAATATTAAAAATTTTTTTTCGGAATGGTTATATATTATATATTATATATTCTAAATATTACAAACATTCTTTTTTAGCATTTATAATTTATCATTGTGTATGACATATGTAACATTTATTGCTGCTGCATGGAAAATGTATTATTTCCCAGCTGATTGGACATATGGGCTGGTGTTATTAAGACATACAATGGGTGTACTATTGATTGCATTACATATATGGACCTCTGTTTCTGTGTTTGAGGTTCTTGGGGATTTTGGATGGTTCTATGGTGATTTCTTTATAGATGATTATTCTACAACTTTATATTATACCGGCATCTATAGATTTGTTAACAATCCAGAGAAAATCATGGGACATGCTGCATTCTGGGGCATTACTTTTATTGCAAACAGCTGGCTTATTTTTGGCGTGGCGTTATTTTCACAGATTTCAAATTTCATATTTTTGAAATATGTTGAGGGACCTCATATGAAAAAACTTTATGGTGACAAAATCAGGAAAGAGGCTGGAGTCACAAGGGCCGTTAAACGTCTAACGATTATTCCAAACATTGTTAAAAGAGAACTGTCTAAAATTCGTGAAACTACAGAGGTTCAAGTTGCTCAAAAAATTATCAAAGAACTTGCTGAAACTGTTGAAAAAATGGTAGAGGAAGCTGGTGATGCTCTAGGCGAACTTGTCGATTCAACAAAACCCAAATTTCAAGAAGTTGTTGAAGAAACTAAAACAATGTTACAAAATTCTCGTGATAAATTAATAAGGTAGGTAGATGTGTGTGTGTGTGTGTGTGTGTGTGTGTGTGTGTGTGTTTTATACTTTGTTTTGCACGCTATTTGTTTATTCTATTTCATCTTTTTTATTTTTATTTTAGCCAAGCCGTTGGTCGAATTCAAAATCATGACGTTTCAGGATATTCAATAGTTCTTGTAGCTCCTGAGGACATAAATATCACACCACCAAGTACACCAATTTCTTCAGATAACAAACCAGAACAAGAACAATTTAAAACAGTGTCAAAACCAATCATATTCACACTTGGTTCTCCGATTAATTTGAGGTGGACTGCACCCAAGAATCATTCATGTAAAGATTGGATTGGTGTTTACAAAGTAACTTCTAATTCTTCAAAGAATGTCACTAGTGTCTCTAGCAAAGGTCGTTACATGTATGTTTTGCCTGAGGATGAAGATTTTGATAATAATAATAACGATGAGGCAGCACCAACATCAACATCAACATCCACTACACAAACATTTACCACTACTGATGCCACCAGTAATGATTTTAATGCCTTTGGTGCATTATGGTTTAAGGGTGATCAATTGCCATGGGAAGTTGGTACTTATGAATTTAGATACCATCGTGACAACGGACATGTAGTTATGGCCATCTCACAGCCATTTGAAATCAAAGGTATGTTTGTTGTCAATGATAACTATAATAATAACGATCGTGTGTTTTTTATCATTTAATTAATTTATAAATTTTATAATTTTTTTAAAAAATAGCACCAACACCAAAATATATGTCGGATCTTCCGTCTATTGAACAAATGGTGCTTACATTAGTACAAAAAGCCCTTGACACAGATCCAGAATTGATTCCATACACCACACAAGATGATTATGTCTTGATGAAGGAAATTCATGCCAAACGCATTGTATATGGAATTAAGATGATCTTTGGTATTGACTTTGCTTGGGAAATTGTTGCTATTGATGGAAATGTTGGAAGGCTTGCAAGAAGGGTTTGTATTGATAGTATTTTGTTTGTTATTTTTGTTAATTTTTCAGATATATATATATATATATAATTGATTATTGTTATTCCAGATACATAAAGCACATCTTGTTATATCTCCTATTAAACAATATCAACGCCAAACAGGTGATCACATGAATGTCAGAAACAGTACGAGTAATGACAATGAAAACAATAATAAATCAACCAATCTTCTTAAAATATAAAAAAAAATGATATTATTTATTTTCCAACTGTTGAAGTTGGTAATAATAATAATAATATTTATTAAGGTGTATTATATGCAAGAAAAAAATTTTTTTTCCAGATCAAAAATTCTCGTGAGCGCACCTGAGATCACACATGTCGATTTGTTTATTTATTACAAATTAATGGTTTTGTGTCATCGTTAAATGCAGAAACGAATGAAAATCACAATATTGGGACACCAAAAAATTTTTTAGGCATTAATGCAAATATATATATATATATATACATATATATACTAGTACAAAAAAAAAAATTTATTTAATAAGGTGGTGGTCCACGATATACACCTGATCTTCTATTATGCTGTCCACTAAAACTACCATATGATTGGCTAGGCGAATAATTAGATTTTGGAGGTGATGAAAATTCAGAATATGAAGAAGGTGGTGGTGGTGGTGGTGGGCGTCTAAAACCTTTGTTTGGATTGTAATAATAATACATTGGTGTTTTATATGATGGTGGTGATCTTGGAGAATAATATCCTTCGGCATGAAATTGTGGTGTTGATGGATTATTATTTGCGGTTAGAAAAGGACCACCGTTATAGTAATTGTTATTATACCTACGGTTTACATTTGGTGGAGCCAATGGAAATTGGTTATCGGGATTATTATACCAATTCTTATCATCTTGGGTTTTCCATCTTCCTTGATATATTTTTTTTATTCTGAAATTATCTGTATGTATATTATTTTGCTGTCGTGGTGGGTGGGCTTTTGAATTGGCCTTATTCAACCTGTCAGCCTTATGATCAAAAAACTTTTTATCTTCTACCCATTGAGCTCTTTTCTCCTCCTCCAAATCTTTCACCTCCTGCAATGCAATTCTATAGGCTGATGAAAGAGCATATAGTAATTGTTTATCATCCATATCATCAATTAAAATGATTCCTTTCTTTTCTTTATTAAAATAAATATCTCCTGTTTTATCTATTTTATTCAATAGCCAACAAACATCATTGTAATTTTCTGTAGTTCTTGCTTGTTCCAATACTAATCTCAATATTTTTGTTAAACCAGTTGGTTTTAAAGCTATTTGTTTCTCAACAGCATTTTCAAGAATTTCTTTTGCTGTGCTTAGATCTCGAAGATTTTGACATGCAAACATCAAAGATTCAAATGTAGAAGCATTTAGAGCAAGTTTAAATTTTTTAAATTGATTATGGTATGTTTCAATGGTTTTGTTAAATTGATAATTTAAGTTGTAAAGTGAAATTAAACCATCATAATTATTAATGTCAAGTGAAAAATCTGGATATTTTGCTGTAATTTTGTTATAATATTCTATTCCTAAATCGAATTGTCTTGTTTTAAAACATAAACCAAAAATACTGTCCACTGTATCGTTTGTAATTGATAGTCTCAAAGAATGAGAATCATCTTTTGTTGATTCTCCTTCTGCTGCTATGGCAGATTTACCAATCCCATAAAAGTCATCAACAATAACGAAAGCTTCTGGTATGTGATTAGTAAATTTAAAAGCAGCAATCACGCCATTAATCAATCCATCATCAACTACCACTGCATTGGGATTATCCTTGTTCTGATCATCTTTAACCAATTTGTTCCAAACATCTGTTGCCAATTCGTAAGCCTTTTCTGATTGTCTCACACCATTTGCTGAACACATTTTCAGGATTTGCAAGTAAGTTTTTCTGTTTGGTTTCAACTTACCACTCCTAATCAAATCATCATAAGTTTTCAGTGCAACATCAAAATTTTTTGCACGTTGACAAATTGTTAACAGACAATTGACATGTCCAATCTCTAGTTTGATCTCAGGTCTTGTTTGACTTGATTGAATGATTTGATTGATGGTTGACATTGCTTGTGAAACTGTTGGTTGTGAGACGTAAAATAATGATAGACCTTTTAAAATTGCTGTATATGTTTCTTGAGTTGGAAGCATTGAAAGTTTTTTCATCTATTTGTCAAAATAAAATTTTTTAAATTAAATTGATATTAACATTAATTAACTAATTATTATTGTCGTTATAAAGAAATAGATTTTACTTCATTAAATAATCTAATCGACATTTTAGTTTTCCCTTTATCAACACATTCAATTATCAATTGATTCCAAGCTTCGGCATTTTCTAATCCTGGATTTTCTTTACTTGACACCAATTTTATAGCATCGTCCAATTTTTCTTCTTTGCTTAATTTAATTACCTTTTCTTTTATACTTTCTAATGTTTCTTTTGTAGTAGCAGCAGCAGGAGATGAAGATGAAGATGGAACGTTTGGATCATTATTATTAATATCACCGACAGCACTAGTACTTGTTTCTAATTTTATTGAATTATCGGTAGTTTCATTTCTTATAATGCAATTGTTGGAGAATTGGCGCAAATTGACAGCTTGATTTTTATTAAATTTATTATATCCGGTCAAGTTGGTATGAAAATGATACAGGTTTTTTCTTGGTGGTATTAATGATGGTTTTGGTAATAACCAACGTGTTGATGCTACTACGTTTGGTTTCAAGAATGTTGTAGTTGTTGATTTATTACAGTTTAGTAATAAAACATTATTTATAACTTTTACATATAACATTATTTACAAGCTTGTGGAAAAAAATTTTTTCTCACGAGAAGATTATCAAATGATCAACCGTTTGGTTTCTGCAGTTATCGGGAGATCTTTGTGTGCAACATCCATTAAAGTGAACATTACGTCCCAGGAAAATTGCGGCGGGGATCAAAATTTTCAACAATAGTAATAGTAATAGTAATAGTAATAGTAATAGTATTAATTACATTAATGTTTTTTATTATCAAATCTTTCAAGTCAATGTCATTATCGCAATGATTTGTTACTACTAACAAAAGGGTTATTATTATTGTGATAATGGTAATAATGAATGGTTTTCAAAATTAGCAATGAGAAGATGATGATGTATTGAAACAAATAATGATGGATGAAAGCATTTCAATCAAGGATGTTGGCCGAAATGGTTTTTGAAAAATCAATTTCGACAAGCAATTTCGGATTTACCATCTTCTTTTATATCAATATTGTTTCTAATTCCACGAGTACAACCAGGACAATGATTTGCAAGTTAAACTTTTTTTGTACATACTTGCGTTGTGCAGGGTAATGTTCTTTAGATTTTCTTTTTTGTTTTTAGCAAAATGGATCTACACTTTTGAGGAAGGTCTACCAAATAATTTACTTTGTGGATCTGAGATTATTTAAAACTAATTCTTCTCGTTTTAAACAATATTATCTCATGAACTTACTACTAGATGTAAAAAGGAGGTGGTAGTTGCTAGCACAGTGATTGATTGTAATTTGAATGGTTTATGATAATTTGTATTTATTATTATTATATTATTATTACAGTTGCTTTTAAAACAATTTTCTCAAAATATTTATTCAATGCAATTAAGGGATATCTTTATATATATATTTTATTAAAAAAAATTTACTTTTGCCAAATCGTCAAATGGTCCTTGGTGAGAAACTGCCTTTAGTCAGTACTTTTGTCACGTTAATGACTAAAGTCAAAAGTTTTGTTATACATCATTAATCGAATCACCTAATTTTTGATTCGCTTCATTCGAATCAAATGCGAATAGGAGTGCTTTGGTTCGATTTGAATCCGATTCGACTCTATAAATGATTTGAAGTTCGAATCTAATTCAAATCAATACCATACGAAATAATTTGAATTTTGAAAGAGTTGCCTTTGGAAATAAATGGTTTTGAAAGTCAAAAGTATTTACTTTGTGCAGTAATTGCATTTGACTTTTCCATCTACAACTGTAAAATAGTTCCAAACTTATTTCTTGTCTTCTTTGAACACTTTGCACTGTGCCTGCTGAAGAAGTTATTGAAGTGGCTTCATGCAATTACTGCTATTTAAATTTAATTCGTGTTCCACGAATAAAGGAAAGAACTTACATAATTAGTGCCGATCGGGGCAAAAAATTTTAATTTTCATATTAAAATTAATATGGTTGATTTTTTGGCCCCCACAAAAAGTCACGCATTTATTATGTTACATATATTA